AGAAGGAGTTCAGTTCAAATAATGATATATATAAAAAAATTGTTACAAAAAGTACGGTTAGGTATGTTTATCAGTTATCTATTACCATAGTACAAGCGTTGTTTAGTTTATTAGAAAACGTGTAAAATTGTGTTCTGAAAACAAAAAGTAAAGTAAAAAAAGTAAAGTAACAGCCTATACATGTCCCACTGCTGGGCAAAGGCCTCCTCTATACAAAGTGTATCAGGGCATGGTCCACCACGCGGCCCTACTGCGGATTAGCGGACTTTACATATCTACGAAATATTTTTTTTTGTTACTATTTCGAAAATATGCAGCTATAGAAGAGCCGTGATAGCTCAGTGTCCGGGCGCTCGCCTTTAATTCAATATACTCGAGCAACCTGATTTCGATCCCCGGTGCCAGCACCAATGAAGTTTTTAACTTTAAGTGCTGACTTATCACGTGCTCCGCGGTGAAGGAAAACATCATGAGTAAACCTGAAAAAAATATTTATAATATATTCCACTTCACGTTGTCAGTTTTCTTTGAGGCCGTGTTTGTCCATTCGTGCAACAGGAGAAACTGTTGCGTGGCTCTACCAATTGAGAAATGACGTGTTTATGTTTGCCGGTTTGGTTAATGTGCTGAGCTTACGATCCGAGGGTTGAAATGGGTTTCAGCTCTTTCGATGAAGTTCTCTCGGAGGTAGATGCCATTTCGTAGTCTAACTCGTTTGGTACTAGTGTACTTATATCTTTCATTTGAAAAGAGTCTGCGATTTTTAAAATAAATGGTATCTTAGGTTTTATTCCATTTTAGAGTAACCAAATAAGATAAGGTAATGTTTAATTTTAAAATTTAAATCGTAGTCTTATCTAAGATGCATTATTTTCAAAAACTGAGTAATCTCTCTCTCTGCGATGCGAAATGGATGAAATGCTCTACCATTATGAAAAAGGCTTCATATATACTTCTAATGCGTGTATATAAGTACATACACGCCTGTTTTTGCAAATTGTTGAAATACAAAGAAATAAAACTTGACTAAAATTACATGGGTTGAGGTTTTTACTTAAATTGGCGCAATTTAACAACGGTAATTAAAAAGTTTTCGTGAACTTCACAATTTTCCAACACGTTTCAATAATTTTGTTCACAGCTAAGTTTGCAACTGTTTGCCTTTGTAATCCTTTCTGTAAAAATTTTTGCTTCACATTTGTACGGCTGCTAGCTTTTATAGGGTTTCTGTCCTTACCTTGGGGGCAATAAAATTTATTGTGACGAAAATAACTGAAATATAAAGAACTGCAATACCATTACATTGTACAATATTAAAAAAAGTGCGTGTGTGTACTTATGTACACGCATTAGAAGTATAAGTTCTTCTTCTTTGGCGAAACAAGATAAAAATCTTCAAAAATTTTATCTTTCGCCATATTTTACGTTTGTAGAAAAAACAACACTAACAATAGAAAAAAAGTATTTGATACATTGAAAGTTTTATTATAACGCATTACTTAGTTAAAGAAAGTTTATTAAAATATCACAAAATAAATATCGTGAATACAGTTGTCAGTTCTCACACAAACATAAGTGGATGTCTAACTAATTTCAGGGTTTCGGTATTTCGGTTTTTCGTGATTTCGGTGTGCGCGCGCATCGTAAAAATTTACTCTCATCATTTATCCCTAACGCGCCAGACGAAGTATAACTTCAAAAATATTTTGAATCCTTAGGAAAGTATGTTATAAAATATGTAGGTTATGTTTATAAGTATTGGTGTTTAATAAGTTCAATGATTTAATGAAAATGTGTTTGAAATTCAATAATTTAAAATAATTAATAATTTTTTACACTTACGGTAATATGACAAACACTTGCAGTCCTCTGTTTAACCTACTTAAAAAAGGAGGTTTCTCAATTCGACCGTATACAAAGATCGTAAATAAATATATTTAAACTTCGTCGTTTATGAACCGATTTTGATGATTCTTTTTTAGGGTTCCGTACACAAAAGGTAAAACAGGGCCCTACTACTGACACTCCACTGTATGTATGTCTGTCCGTCTGTCACCAGACTGTATTTAATGAACCGTGAAAGTTAGATTGTTGTAATTATCTCAGAGGTTGCCTCTATTTATCTATCTCTATAGATTTATGTTGCCTCTATAACAACAAATACTAAAAAACAATGAAAAAATATTTATGTTTGTTTTGAACTCAAAGAATCATGTCCCATACCACAGACATGATTTTTTGCCGTTTTTTACATAATGGTACGGAACCCTTTCAGCGCGCGTCCTTCGCACTTGGTCAGTTTTTGTTAGAAAGGATATAATCCCAAGAATGGTACGATGATAAGGAAAACCGGATCATGGCACCCCAGAGAAATAGAGGGCAATCCTTAAATCTTATAGGTATTGACAATGTTTTCCAGGTATTAAGGCATTAGCGTATGGTCATCATCATCTCATGACGCTGAGTTCATGAAGGAAGGTACAACTCTTTAACGGTTAGGATTAAGGTGATTTCTGGTTCTAGAAAAATGTATAGAGACTTGTTGATATCGATTACTATTGGACTTCTCTGGAGACAATTGTGCAGTCAAGTACACAGTGCTACAAACTAGAATTATTAATCATTTTAACCGTCTTTAAAAGGAGGTTGTCAATTCGACACGTTTTTTTAACCGACTTATAGACGGGATAGGATATCAGCTCGGATGTTTATATGTTATTTATGTATGTTCGGGTATAACTGCGTCATATAAAAAGCAGATTTAACTGATTTTTTTTATTTAAAAAGCATTACCCTTACTTTAGGATAACAATATCCTGTGTTGTAAGGACGTTTTACAAACATAAATTTCACGCGGACAAAAACTCAGATGCGAAACAACTATCTGTGGGTCACTGAAATAGTTGTCCCGTGTGGGAATCGAACCCACGACCCCCGACGCCGAAGCCTTGGCAACTGCGCCACGGAGTCATCAAACTATAGCTGAAAACGTGAAAACAGCGTATTTACACAATTAATACACTGTTTTCGCGTTCTCAGCTATCATGTGTGCATTCGTAAGCGTCTACTTGTCTGACAGTGGGATAAATTCTAACTGCAACTCCATCGGCAATCTCCCATGAACAGTATTCCTTGACGTTCACAAAGCAATCCAAGTTGAGCGCTGCTGTCAATTCGCTAACGCTATTGGTAATCTTTGTAAATAAAGTTATTGCCAAACAAGTGCGAAACTATGATGATTATGATTTTAGAGGTTAAGAAGCATTATCTCTCTATCTAGCTCCTTTCTATCCCTCGATGTTTCTCTACTTCCCTTTTTTTTCACTCTTACTTTGATGATCACACACAAGAGGTATGTTTTTCTTATTACTTTAATTTTTGTTGCAACTTTCTTTTTACTTAATTTCATGTCCATCCTACCCAATAATAATTTCTTTTGATAAATTTCTGAGGTTGCCTGGAAGAAATTGCTGTGTAGCAATAAGGTCGCCTTTTGATGACCAATATTTGATAAATATTTTGTTTAGTTCTGTACTTTTTTTTTTGTGTACAATAAAGCATATTATTATTATTATGGTTATTTTCGTCATTTAACCTACCTAACATATAGGATCGTTTTTTAACAATCTGCTTTTGCGCTGGTCAGTTCTCTCATTTGAAACGCTTAGGGATTCTATTACCCTATTTGTTTTTAATCGTCTTCTCTTTTTCAGTTCCGGTTTCGGTTTCACGCTGCTTTTTCATACGAGCAGCCTCTTTGTTAAGTCTACCCATATTTTATAATACTTAAGTAATACAATTTAGTCACTAACATAAAATTAATAAAAAGTTTTGTAACAAAAAGAACCGAGTTCAAAAATCTCTATAAGCACAATAGTATTAATAATAATCAAATCTTGACAATCTAACCCATATAGTTATAAATATAATAATACAATATACAAAAAATAAACTACCACATGTTCATTAATTTGATCTGTCCAGGGAAGAACTCTGCGGATTTAAAAAAATTGTTTATACAAATTTGTTAAATAAAATCAGCAGCTGCCAGGGAACTTGCAAGTGTAGAGCAAGTGTCATTTTCACACATTCTTGTCCTTAATGTATTCTTCTACATAAAAATAGACCCATTCAATTAGAGTACCTTTTACAAAAAGTTTCTACCAACTCGCGTGATACGTTTTTATTGTCAAAAGATTCACATACATGTTCTCGAATTTGTACAGCGTCGGTAGTGTTAAAACATTTATTTGCTTAAAAAGTTGCCGTTACTACTCACGTGGATCCAAGTCATAAATAGCCTGTACGCTCTTAAAATACAAATAATGTGTCTAAAATGGATGCCTAACAACAAAGTATTAACCTAAATCTCGGTATTAACTTAACACTATGAAAATAAGCAATATAAACTAATTTAGTTGTTGCCTCGTTTGTTAGCTGTCTGACAAAGAGGGCAACGCTCAACTTCTTTGCTATTTTTCTATGAACCTCTATCTCCGATAGTTCCTCTTCACCTGATCCCGTATCGTATAGACAAAACCCTCGGTTTCCCAAAAGAAGCCATCGAAATGGAGCAAGTGAGGCGACAGTGTTAACGAAAGGGTCATTGAGAGCCTTGTAAAAAATCTCATGGAGCACTTTCTCTTTCTATACTGTTTGCCGTCAGAAACGCTTTGCACTCTTGGTCATAGTTAAACGCACACATGAGCACATGCGCAGCCCTACCCACAGTGGAGGGCCCAAACCCATGGGTTCTGGCTAAGCCACCGGTTCTGCGTCAGATGAAGCTTTAATAGTCTCGGGACTGAAAGCACAAACATCAGTTAATACAAGATACACTCTCGGTTAAATGTCCACTCGATATATTTGAGGACTGGCATGACCGAACCGTTAAATGCGCACGCTCTGTTCACGTTTGACAAATAGCTTATAATTTTTTGTCAAAAAACACGTCGTGCATATTTTATTATACTTTGTAGTATATGAGATATACTTTCACAATGGTGTGTATGTGATAGTCTAATAATTAGACTCTAGTTAAACCGCCAATTTAACAGGATCGTGGTCTTAAAATTTATAATGATAGCATTGTATTGAAGAACTCTTAGAAGTAATCACATTATACCGAAATAAGTACAATCGTCTTGTCTCTTTACCCCCCCCCCCCCCTTTGTCTCTTTTTTACTAGAATTTATTTTCAGCCATGTGTAGTGCACTGTCCTAGTGTCTGTCACAGTTTTATGGCACTGGAAACCGTATATTATTTTATGCAAATTTTGTTATGTCATCGCTTTGTCTATTCATTATTCTCAATTTATTTATCATTATTACGTATATATGTATTATCCTTATTACGTAATTAATAGATGTATGGTAGCACACAATGATTTATTTTTAAATTTAAATACTTAGAGGATATGAAGTATACTCTTTTGTTTCTATTAGTATCCTTTACGTTAATTTAAATTCACATCACATGTATGTGGGAAACTTTATAGTGTTTGAGATTTATTTACATTCAGCTAATATTTCAACAGCCTACTATTTCGGTGAAATATAGTATTCGCCTTTTGCATGTACAACGTCACATTTTTAAGCTTACTACTATCCTATAATATCTGGCAAACCATAAAACGAATCAATTTAGTCAAATCTAACCCACCATTTTGGATGAAAGCGATTATAACGCAACAGTAGCAATAATGCGTTACCCAAAGTGTGCCCGTTTCGCATTTTGCTTTGTTCAAAATTCAAATTTATAACGTTTTAAAAAATATTTACTGTTCTCATGTAGTCGTAACACAATCTGCTTCCCCAGGAGTGCAAATTGTGTTACGGGTGCAACACGTGTCACGTGCATATTCAGTTTTCTCACAAAGAGCTTTTCACATGTTGTCGTGTATGGGTAATAGTCTGCGCGTAGGGCTTTTCTCGGCAAATAAAATTTTTGTTGTAGCCGTTGATGCTTCCGATAGATATTAAATTGGCAGCTATGTATTCAAAATTTATTCTATACTTTTGAAAGAATGAGGTAGAAAAATTTGGGATAGAAATCACATTGATTATCATGAATGAAATTATGGTCACTATTTCAATAGCTTTTAAAAATATAATTTCGATTAGGCCCGGTCGACATTGGTTAGAAATTTTTCAATTTTATGAAATATATATGTATTATGTTATGAATGTTGTAAAAATTGTATTAAAAATGATCGACTGATTCGAAGTAATCGCAACATGACCCGAGTAGTACGGTAGAGAAGTTATCCTCTTCCTGTGCTGGTAATAACAAAATGTCGCAGCAGATTATATATTATTTATTCTGTGGCTACCCCTGTCTATGGTCGTTGGTGCGTGGGGTGAGTGAGAGCGCATGTGCCGGTTTCTAAACGGGCGTGCGGCAGATCGCGAAAGCGGCAGAGCACGGCCACGCTTACGTGTGTCCTGATCGACCCGGTACCGCGCTAGTGAAGCAAGTCAGCCGCCGAGTTGCGGCAGCCCGCCTCGCAATGCAACCTCCACCTAGAAAGGTAGGTCCGCCGTCGTCAGAAGGAAAGCCAATAAATATGCAAAATGTTCCCAAATACATTTTAGAGGCCAAAATTACGCATCTAGCATTTGAGAGGGTGAAAAACGCGATTTACTACATGCAGAACACTGTATCAACACCAATGTTTATCGTGTAATATATTATTATATAACTGAATATAATGTTTATAGGGTGTAAATATTGGCTTTTCTGAATTAACCTCTGCGTAAATGTGTGTCTATAGGGGAGCAACGGTCACGAAGTTGGTGTATTTTCACTCAAAAATTTTCATCAAGGAAAGTAGGCCCAGTAAAGTCTATTGCTCCCAATGAATCTACAGCATAAAAACTCTACATGGAAGGCACGGCTTTGGAGGCCTAGTTAAATCAATAATACTGATTAGTTTAAATACATACTTTAAATAACTATAACATTTAGATTTATTTTATAATGATTACGATGAAAAGAAATATAGTGCTGATATTATAATATTTTCCTTACATTGCTAATTGGATTAGGTAGAAAGAAAATTTCTTGTTATTTATTGTTATAGACAATTAAAAGATACCGTAAAATGTACAGCAAAAATGTGTATGTAGCAGTAAATGTGGGTATGATGTAATTTGAAACATGTTATTTACATAGGATATTCACGTTCAATCATTCTCTTTATTTTGGATGCTGTATTAATATTTTAGATTAAAGAAACAACAGGAACACTTCAAAATAGTATTAATAATACCAATCATTATTTAAATATTAAAAGAAAGTAAGTGTAATGGTTTAACCATGTTTTTACTTAAATCTTAAAAGCAAAGTTGATGAAAGTAATTTGAACATGTTTTAAAATTCACAAATGAAATATTTTACGTTCAATTTCAGTGCATTCTGTAAAATTCAGTTTTATGTGTTGAAGTAATAATTTATGGATTGACTTTGATTTAATTACTCGAAATATAAAATTATGGATGTCAGAGAAAATAATTTTTAATTACGTACATATTCTACTCGTTCTACAGTAGATAACGACGTTCATGAAATAAAGAAATTATTTCGGATATTTATTAGTTATGTAAATGTAAAGATAGATAATATTTACGAGAACATACATAAATAATTGAAATTGATATTTAAAGGACATATTTTTATTGTCAATTGAAATGGACGTGAATTGAGTTGCCTATAAAATTATTGTATTATATTCTGGATCTCGTTCATTGAATGAGACATAACCGCTATGTATAATGAGTACATTCAATAAAACTATTTGACGTCTGGACTCTTAGCGCTTCTTAAAAATGGCCAGTTGGCATGCTTATGCTGCCAAGAGTTCCAGAACTAAAAATCGTTTTCCTCATTTTTGCTTTATTATGTTTCATGTGTTTTGAGTGACTTTGTTAACTAGATTATTTCCAATTTTTTTGCCAACATTTAGTTTTAGTACTATCTCGTCTGTTGGCAACTGCTAATTACTTGCACTTATAATTAAAATACCATTATAAAAATAGCATTTTGTAAGCGGTTTTGCCTATGTTTTTTACGACTGGCCGCTTGCCCGACGTGAACCCCCCTCCTTGGGAAGCAAACACCCAGATCAGAAAAAAAATATACTTGTATATCCAATAATACAAAAATATTTGTATATTCATAATCGGTCGACGAATAAAAAGCTATTCAGTCAATGATTTTTAAAATTATAAAATAATTCTTTGAGTATAATACTCGTAGGTATTGTTAGAAGTCATTTTGTTTAGGTCAATGTAAACAATTGTTTATGCCAAAGGACCATATAACACTCATAGTTATTAATTAAAATTTGTGTTTTTTGAAGGAAATTAAATAAAATTTCTTAAAGGTCTTTTTCCTTACGAAGGGAAATGATGTTGGAAACGATCGATGTCTCCAGGACGTCACACCACTTTAATCGCAGGACTCGTTTATATAAAGATATTAAAAATCAAATTTCTAATCAATTAAAGTTAAGATAAACAGATATTGAAAAGTAAACGAGAGTCGATAAGAATCTTCGCTATATTAGAACGATTTACAGTAGTACATCAAGATTTATTTTATTTTTATCCAACTGAATAAAATGTGCGGTTGGTTAATTAAAAATGATAAGTATTAATTATTTTCCATAAAAAGTAAGTGTTTGCAAATAATTTTAATATTTCTAAGGAATTGTTTTGTTTATAAGTTATTGCTCCAGTAATATTTTATTTTACGAAATGGAAATATAACATTGTTTGTTTGTTAGACATTCAAAAGTAAAGGATTGGTATGGAAGCTCATTCTGGCTCAGTATGGACCTCGTCGATGACAGCGTAGATTGAATTTAGTAAGGTTACAGCAAGACCTTATCAGCGTGTAGAATAGACTAAGATGATTAGATTTCGATGGGTTGGATGTGAATGGCCCAGTTGCTAATCATTAACTTTCTGTGACATGGGGTATAAGGTTTGTTTTCAGTCCAAATAAGTTATTAAGCCTTCAGGATTTTTTGCGGTTATGCGTAAATTTCTGAATTTCCGCTTTTGAAAAATATTCGCTGGTACTTTCATTCATTGATAACCTCCATAGAATCAGTAATAATATCTATGTATGCATATGGCAAAGTAAAGACAAATATAATTGATTGAGCGCATAGGTAAAGACAATTGATTGGGCGCGATTCTGGTTTCGTGGAATCCGGTCAAGTATTTCTGATTTTAAAGGCTCGCACAACTAACTTGCAGCTAGGCCTATCCTGAAAATTTAAGAAATTCACTGAAATGATCGAAGTTGATCGGCATTTTAGCAGTTTATGATGACTCACCAGAAACTCCAGGAGTTTGATTGCAAAGTCTTGATTGATGATCTACCATACATTGTGGTACTGGCAACAAACAATTACCTGGTTTATCCTTCATTTCTGAACGTCCCAGTGACAAAAAATTGGCATCAAGGGGTAATTATGGTATTCTTGTTCGAGTTATTGCCAAATCAACAAATCAATCTAAAGGAAAATGTCATTGTACAGAAAATTGAGTTTCATAAAACGCCGTAGACCATCATGGAAGAGATGACCACCTTGTCATCTACTGCATCTTATTGAAGCCTTATCATTAGACATTGTAAAAAATGTGGATAAAATTTGTTTTTGAAGATGCTCGTTTGTAGTAGAAGTAATAAGCAGAAATTGTTTGATTAACATCTAGTACCACTTTGACCATTTTCTATGATCTTTTTTTAAACTTTGATACTGAACACTTCTAGACGTCAAAACCATGCCGGTTCTTTCTTACTAAGATACAGATGTCATATTTCAGCGCAATAAGTGTGAAATGTCATACACCCTCCTGAAGAAAAGTCCTTTTACTGACCACTCAACCAAACAAATATTGTGTCTCTACGAAGGTCACTTTTTGCCGCTCACGCTATTTTTTACTATGTTTGTGGTGCCCCTCACGTCCCCATTACTCGCTACTATAATAACTATAATATACAATTATAAAAATTGCATATGGACAAGACGGCCTTTCTTCGCGTCCTGCCCTTAAGGCACATTTACTTCACTAAGTTCCCCATTGAAGATCCGAACCCTAATAACATTGCTTGCACAATGGTAACTCGCTGACAGCAAAATGTTATTGGACCACAACTGTTATGCTTATACCTCAGTATAAATATAGTTATAGTCACTACATAGTATAAAATAAAGTGGTCCGGCTGTCTGTCTATCCCTATTTATGCTTAGATCTTTAAAACTGCGCAACTTGATGCGGCTTTTTTAATAGATAGAGTGATTTAAGAGGAAGATTTATATGTATAATACATTGCACTCGTGTGAAGCCGGGGCGGTTCACTAGTAATAATAACTTGTTCTTCGAAAAGAATATAATTAGTGACTATTATTTAAAATGGGTTGTGAACAACCACGATCCAAATTTTAAAAGTTGATGTTTTGAAAAACGTTCAGTTTTGTTTACTCTTGGAAGAAAAGCCCAACTTGGCCTCCTCATAAAAAATGTATAATCTAATTAATGTTTTTCTGATAAGTTTGATTTGCCTTGCGAAGAGAAATAACATCTCTTTGTATTTTTTATCATATTTACCATGTTATCAGGAATTGTTCGGATAGAGGTAAAAAAATCCGATACCGAAAATTCCGAATTGATTCTTATTGAATGTTTGATTGACAAGACAGCACCATTGGCAGCACCCTTGGTGCCTAGCAGAATATGGTCGAAAACTAACCTGCTACTTATGAACACGTTGAGAATCTGTTCGCAACTGTGTTATTTCCGAACCTCTGTGAGCAAGGGGCATTGAGGAACTTGCAAAAACAACTTACAAACCCTTAAAAATAAAACTTACAAGCCCTACCAAAGAACTTAAATCTTAATAATTGTAAAATATAATACTAATACAGTGTCAATAACTGTGTACATCAAAGTTCTTAAATAATAAAAAAAATGATATGAATACGAAAAAAAATCCCTGACTAACAAATATGTGGTCACCGTCAAAGTTCTGTCAATTGACAGAACTTTGACGGTGAGTTTGTTTAATTATTTTTCTCCCATTATATAGAATGAAATTGCTAAGTAAAATCCGACCCTCATTTAAATAAAATGACTAATATAATTCAAAGAAAATGTAGCTATTCATCAGTGAATTGATTGTATAATACCCACCTATCTTCATTTTGGTCGAAGTGGTTCGGAAGTGCTAATATTTTTTCTTATACTATGACAAATATAATTGGTTTGCAATTTTAATGTTTTATTATTTATATAATCCGTCTTATTTTACGATTTACACGAATAAAGAAAAAAACACAAATTTGGATAAATAAAATGCAATTAAATTCTATATACTACTATATACTTCTTTGAACGTTTGGAAATGCAAAAAAACATTTTCAAACGTTCAAAGAAGCGTGAAACTTTAAAAGTGTATATAAAATGGGAACGAATTTTCCTAGACAACACTCTCTAAAGGCCCATTTACACGATGCCA